CCCCCCCCCCCCCCCCCCCCACACCCCACACTCACTCACACCCAGAACAGGACATTTTAGTAGTCTTCGCTCGGTTTCTTATCTGCTGTGGCAGATTAGAACCTTTCTTTCCCTTAACATCGGTGAACCGATCAGTATCGTCAGTCAACCAACGATCCTGTAGTTCAACGGACTAGTACCGTCGATCAGCCGGGTAGTATCGTTGGTCAACCAGCTAGAACCACCGGTCAACCGAGCGCCAACCGCTGGCTCCTGCCTGTTTTCGCTCCTATCGGCAAGCATAAAAAAACGCAACATGGGAAAAAGATAATGTATTAATATGACGACGAAGAAGAAGAGAGAAGAAGATAGTGACACTTTAACCTATCTTATTCTTGATAAGAGTCACATGTGTGTTGGTCACAGCCTCGTCTGTGCATTGTGAATAACATGTTTCTACTGTTGGTTTTCGCTGTTGTCGTTTTAGCCATCTATTACCTAAAACTGAAATATTTTACTCTTCGCAATTCTATACCCGGTGTACCACCTCATTTTCTTCTTGGAAATCTACTTCAATCTGGGATGTTGCTTCATGGCAAATGTCTTCCTCAAGTCTTCTTGGAATACAAAGCTTGCTTTGGTGATATTTTTCAATTTTATGCTTCTTCAACGCGTATGATCGTGGTCAGCAACATTGGCGATGTACAACACGTTTTCACTAATCGAAATATATATGATCAAGGTGATATTTATGTTAAACATTTCGGTATGGTCTTACGCGAAGGTTTCATTTGTCTCAAAGGTTATTTTCATTACCGTTGAATTTAATGAATAATTCTTCGTATTTTTTTCATTAGGCGCCCAATACAAACGACATGCTTCACTCATTGTACCATTATTTCGACGTGGAAAAATTGTATCGAATTTTGATTTAATTATTAACTGTACAGATAAATTGTTAGCTAAATGGCGTGCTAGTTCTCCGGAAAAAGTACACATTGACATTGTTCAACAAAGTCAAAATCTTTTACTTGAAATTTTTGGTTTTATTGGTTTTGACTATGATTTGGAGACACTTGGTGACGATGAAATGACAAGGAATAATGAGCTTACGGAAGCACTTCGACATTTCATGCACCTATTTCAAATAGTTTCATATTGTCCACGTTTTCTTGCCTCTATCTACCTGAAATTTAGTCCTCAATATCGACGATTAAACAAAATTATTGAGCGATATTTATATAGAATGATAGAACAAGAACAAGAGAAAAGTCCAGAGTTAATTGCCGAAAGAAAAAGAACATCGTTGATTGCTTCACTTGTTTCCTCCTTGCAAAAAGACAAGCAAATGGAAGCAACACAAAATGAAGACTTGAAAAAAGGTTAGGTTGCTCATTGAACTCTTTAAAAAAATGAATAGAACATACGATACTAAGGACTTTGTCAAAATCTCGAGCTAACTGTTACTTTTGTCGGATGGTTCGAAGTCCGATTTTGGTTTTATTTGAAAGAGCAGCCTCTACTAGAAAGTGCAAATTTGAACTCTTAGGTTTTGTGAAACGCGATTGTAAAGTGTTGAAGCATAAGGTGAGAAATTTGGACCCATCCTTGCTTTCCCATAGACCGTGACAAACATATCACAGGAAGACAAGACAAAAAGACGAAGGAAAAGCTCAAAGGTGAGAATACCTTGCTGAAAGCGTTCCAGAAGCTTTCAGACGCTTCGAGAATCAGCTAGATCTTTCAAGAACCAACGAGGTACTTTGAGAACCAATTAGATCTTTGGGAACTAGTGAGACATTTAGAGAATCGATGAAGTTCTTGGATGACTGACGAGGTCTTTCGATGACGCCTCTTCGAGACAGCCTGAAAAGATGATGACGTATGAGGATGCCCGATAGCCAGTGAAATCAATGTGGTGCTTTGCCAACTTAATAGATAAGATATCCCTAGGATCCACGAATTCACAATTCAACGAATTTCAAGAAAATCAATCAACGCAACAGACGTGCATAAGATATTAGGTTACAAGCCTTAACTACAATAGAATTCTAGAAAATTCTAGAAAATTCAGCAATTCAAGAGGCTCAAAACAATTCTAGAAATTCGAGAAATTCAACAAACATACAGAACAGGACAAGGGATCAGCCCAAACTACGATGAAATTATGGAAATTCAAGGAAATTGTAGAAAATCAAGCAAATGAAGAGAATGAAAGTAATTCTAGAGATTCAAGAAATTCAACAAACATGCAGAACAGGACCAGTCATCAGCCTAAACTCTGAATGAATTCTGGATATTACCAAAGAACCTACATGTTCATAGAAGGTCAATGGAGAAACTGTACGAACTTCGTTCTCTCTTCGATCTCACATCACAGGCTGCGTTGAGCAGCGCGTAGGTTCCAAAACTGATCTTAAATTGCTAAAATTTCCTTGAATTCTATGGAAACTCCCAGGAATATAATTCAAAGTTATATGATGCATTCAAGTTCTTGATTTTCCTCAATTTCCTTGAATTGCATGATAGCTTCAAGGACTATAATTGAAAGTTATATCATGTGTTGAATTTCCATGAACTTCCTTGAATTGCTTGCATTGTTTGAGTTCTTTGATTCCCTTGAAATGCATGATACTTCGAAAGACTCTAATGCAAAGTTATATGATGCCTTGGATTTCTTGAATTTCCTTGAATTGTCAATTTTTGGATCTTAGGCACTGCTGAATAGATTAATATACGATCAAAAGAAAAAGATAATAAAAGAAGATCAAATCAACAATAAGAAAATAAAATAAAAGCATTCATATATCTAAAGAACACAGAGAAGAAAGCAGATTACAGTATATTATCTACCCACCTAGTGTGATGTTTTTGGTGAAACACGAATGTTAATGAGTGTTGAAGTATATAGCAAGAAGGGTTGATACGACCCTCGCCTGCCTCACACACCGTGACAGATATGTCGAAACAGCCATTTTACCATCACAGATCGTAACAGACATTTTCGACACGCTGATCCTTCGACTATATCGCAGACCCCAATAAATGTGGTGAAGTTCTTCTGTACGATTAATGCAGTTCCATTGTGTTTCACATGTTAATCCCATAGGAACTGTGCTGAAAGCTTTTTAAAGGAAAACTTTAAAAGCTAAACGGTACCAAACATGTTTTGGCAAATTTTGTCATCGATTAGTTACAAGATACATTCATAATGTCTTCTATAGATGTTTTTGATTAAATTATAAAGATGTTGATAAAACCTTTCATCATAGAGAATCGAAAAAAGGATTGCAGCCAAAGAGAGCAACAGCTGATTTAAATCAGCCAAAAATGAGCCAAAATCACGCAAATAATCAAAAATCAATTATAGTCATCCAAAATCATCCAAAAATCACCAAAAATCATCGAAGAAACATTCAGAATCACCGGAAAAGTACCAAAAATCGTCGAAAAATCTCAGTTTCTAATTCGCAAATAGTCTTCAGCGAAGAAGTCTGAGATAAACATGAAAATGCAAGAGGAAACCTGCGATTTATGATTTTCGGTGATTTTCAATGATACACAACACTGTAAAATCGTAGAAAAATCACTAAAAAATCATAAAAAACACTCTAAATCACAAATCGCTCTTTCATCTTCGTTTTAGTCCATCTGCCTATTTATTGTAAGATCAGAAAAAATTGTCTTAAAATTTTCCAACTATGTAGGTATGGTACATTTTGTGAAACTCACTATAAACTAACGAGCGTAAGTTTTATATTCGAACTTTCGGCTCCCTCCTCCTTTACAGATACCTGTCTCCTTACAGATCTTTCCCCTTTATCGACACTTCAGTCTCAGAGACAGTTTCTTGTTTGATGTAGAACATGGCAGTTAATGTGTGTTTCGCATCTTAAAACTCCATCAAAAACTGCACTGATAAGCTTTTTTCATGAGCTATAAAATGACTGAGTTAGTTTATTTAAAAAAATTTTCTGGCCATTTCAAGAGTAAGAATAATCGATATTTTATGTTTTACAAACATTTTTTCAAAGTCTTTCTTTAAAAAGGAAGACCAGTAGTAGAATTTTTTTAATGTAAATCTGGTGATACAGACTTTGCTCTTTCAACTGAAACAAACCAGACTCCTAGCTATTTTGGAACAGAACAGTGACGTTTTCTCAACATTGTTGCAAAGACTTTTGCATCACATGTTATTCTGAGATCTCTTTTTTTATATGGAACGGATAGTTAGTAGAGTATATAATGTAGAAAATTGACCTGACGGTTATTTCTTTTTTCAACACACAGAATAATATTGCTATCGTCATATTATGAATAGGTCTTTCAAGACATGAACTCATGGATGAAATGTTGATGTTTTTGGTTGCTGGATTCGAGACAACATCAACTGCACTTGCTTGGTTCATTCATCTTCTGAGTAAACATCCACGTGTACAACAGAAGATCAAAGCAGAATTAATGAACGATAGTAAAAATCAAGATTTGTCACTAGATCGTCTCGATTCGTTGATTTATTTGGATTGTGTTATCAAAGAAGTACTTCGTTTTTGTCCACCCGCTGATGGAACAAATCGTACATTAACTGCCGATGATCGTCTACCCATGAGCGGTGTACAATTATACAAAGGCGATCTTGTAATCATTCCTTTTAATATTCTTGCGCGAGACAATTGTCACTGGTCGATCGATCCGAATCTCTTTTATCCAGAGAGATTTCTTGATGAAGACAAGAATCATCATCCATATGCATTCATTCCGTTCGGTGGTGGTCATCGACAATGTATCGGACAAGATTTGGCTCGATTTGAATTGAAAGTGATCGCAGCAAGGCTGATGCAACATGTGACATTTGGCGATGGTGGCCCTAAACTTAATGCTGGTGGGCAAATATCAAGACTGACTACGTTCCCTAAATATGTCGGTGTCACTATTGACTTTAATAACAAAAATGAAAGTGATAATCTCTCCTCTTAGTCAGGCCATATGTGTGTTGTCTCTCTACCTTTTGTTATTAATGTAGCAGTGGCGTAGTGTGGTGCTGCTGTTTCATTCTAGTATACTGAAATGTTTTAGCTATCTCTCCTCTCTTTTCTGCGCTTTCTCTCTTGTTTAACTACAGTAAGTTCGATACATGTTGACTATTTTTCAATAATTTTGTGCCCTTTCTTAACCTTCTCTAATTTTAGAACTTTGTCCCATTTTTCGGAACAAGAGTGTTCTTGTTTAGGGTGTGGGTGTGGGTTGGGTGTGGGTGTGGGTTGGGTGTGG